GGCAACTACGGCCCGCGGCCGGATCGCCATTGAAATGAATAAAACTAAAAAAAAAAAGACCGTACCCTTTATGTAATGATGTTACTTTGAATTTATATTAGTTCACACAAACACTCCATCCATGCTTTTGTTCCGGCCCTCCGGTCCAGTTTAAGAACCCATTGTGGCCCTCGAGTCAAAAAGTTTGCCCACCCCTGGGTTAGGGGCAATCAGGCAGAGGTGGTTAGGGGTGATCAGGCAGGCAGGGAAGCAGTTAGGGGCATCAGGCAGGCATGCAGAGTGGTTAGGGGCGATCAGGCAGAGGTGGTTAGGGGTGATCAGGCGGGCAGGAAAGCAGTTAGGGGCATCAGGCAGGCATGCAGAGTGGTTAGGGGCGATCAGGCAGGCAGGCAGGTGAGCGGTTAGGAGCCAGTAGTCCCAGATTGTGGGAGGGGTCCCGGATTGGAGATGGTGCAGGCCAGGCTGAGGGACCCCTCCCGTGCACGAATTTCGTGCACCGGGCCTCTAGTATATATATAAAAGGCTTCCCTTCGACCGGTAGCTATGATAAGCACTGACCACCAGGGGCAGGCGCTCAATGTAGGAGCTGCCATGACATGCACTGGCCCCAACGAACCAACACTCGGCTTCCCCCAAGAGGGACACAGGCTCTGCCACCACCCTGGAGCGGCACCTCACCAAATCGCAGCCAATGCTGCCAAGACTCCATGGCGCAAAATGCGGCCCACAGCCCAGCCCAACCCAGAAATGGTCACTGTGAGCGCAGGGTAATGAAGTCACTTACCAATGCCCAGCTTCCTCTCCCTAGCGACTCACCTCCTTGGAGTTTCTTCAGCCCAGGAACCCGACTTGCTTTATAGCCAGGTGTAAACATTTTACAGTTCAACCAAATGTTTATGAAGCGTTTTCCCATGCCTCATCTCATTTGATCCTCACAGAAGTCCTGGAGCAGGTAGATAGGAGACTCGGTAGAATCCTATTTTCTTTTTATTAGTCAAAAAACGGAGATTTAGAAAGCTTAGAAATTTGATCCAGCTGAAAAGAAGTAAGAAATGGTGAACCCTGAAAATTACTTTTGGTTTTCTCACTGCACAGAATATAGTCAAACACTACTGCAGTTAAATATTTAACCCTTTGTTCTCCCTGTGTGATCTACAATAATAATCTGCTTTGTGTTGATATTTACTGTTGTGTTGCTGATAATTACCTGAAAGAGAAGTTGGGGTGCTTTATTGGGCTGGAAAAAGTTTAGCTAAATCAGAAAGCAGGTCTAACTAAGCAAGTTTATTCTATATCTATAAAAGGCTAAGTTGACTCGCGCATGCATGATACATATAAAGCTCTCGCTGGCACCAATTGCACGCGTGTGTTTCGATCTGTCATTGTCGATTGTGAATTTGGTTGACACTTGTATTATAGAGAAAGGGCAGATAACCCTATTAAAATATTTCTTCTAATTAATTTCCTTTCAATGTGCACGAATCCGTGCACCAGGACACCAGTTGCAATAAACATAAGGGTGCATATATTCTTTCAAATTAGTGTTTAGGGTTTCTTCAGGAATATTCCCAGAAGTGAAATTGCTGGGTCATAAGACAGTTCCATTTTTATTTGTTTGGTTTTTTATTAATATATTTTTATTGATTTCAGAGAGGAAGGAAGAGGGGGAGAGAGAGAGAGAGAAGCATCAATGATGAGAGAGAATTATTGATCGGCTGCCTCCTGCACGCCCCACACTGGAGACTGAACCTGCAACCTGGGCATGTGCCCTGTCCGGGAATCAGACTGTGACCTCCTGGTTCATAGGTCGACGCTCAAACACTGAGCCATGCCGGCTGGGCAAGACAGTTCCATTTTTTAAAGACAAGGAGTAGGTTAGTTGGTTGGGATGTTGGCCTGATACACCAGGGTTACAGGTTCAGTCCCTGGTCAGGGCACATACAACAATCAACCAAGGAATATATAAGTAAGTGGAACAACAAATTGATGTTTCTGTCTCTCTCTCTAAAATCAATTAATCAATAAAAATCAAAGGCAGGGAGTGGTGAGGCTGTACTCTAGGAAAGTGGTGGAGCATAGACAGATGTTTACAATCCAGTAGGCGGCAGTGCAGAGCTGAGGGCAGTGATAGTGCGTGCATGTCCCTCTGCTGGGACCCTCTGCGGAGGCCAGCAGTGCTCGCTGGGCCGTGTCCAGCCTTTGGCTTTGCAGCAGGGGAGGCTGTGCATCTAGCAGGGGTGGGCAAACTTTTTGACTCGAGGGCCACAATGGGTTCTTAAACTGGACCGGAGGGCCGGAACAAAAGCATGGATGGAGTGTTTGTGTGAACTAATATAAATTCAAAGTAAACATCATTACATAAAAGGGTACGGTCTTTTTTTTTTTAGTTTTATTCATTTCAAACGGGCTGGATCCGGCCCGCGGGCCATAGTTTGCCCACGGCTGGTCTAGAGTCCTCGTGCATATCGCCTCTCCATCATTTCACTTTCTGCTCATCTCGCCTGGCGGTCCCCTCACTTGCTGACTGTCCCCACACCTGGCCCTTGAGGGCTCGGGTGGCCGCTGTCGAGTGAACCAGGGACTGCGTGGAGCCTGGTTCCCCTGCAGGGACCTGGATTCGTGCTCTTCCACATGCCTTCCTGCCCTTCTCCGTGTCCTTGGGAAGCAAGGGCAGTGGCGCCAGCCTGGGCCACGTTGCTTGACTGCTTTGTGCCTCAGTGTCCTGATCTGTAGCAGAAGGACTATAATAGTAACATCCCTGCTAGAATCTTGTGAGGATTCTGCAACTGTGTGTGTGTGTGTGTGTTTGTGTGTGTGTGTGTGAGAGAGAGAGAGAGAGAGAAAGAGAGAGAGAGAGAGAGAGAGACAGAGAGACAGTATTTAGGACCATGCCTGACATAAGCTCTCAAAAACCAATAAGTATTGGCTATTATTATGACTGACCTTCTTCATCCAAAAACTGGGAATCATCTTTGATTTTCTTTCAGCCTCACCTGCAGCAAGTCTTAAAGTCCCTACGTGCAAAGTATGTCTTGAGTTTGCCTCCCTCCCTCCACCTTCACCGTCAGCCCCTTCACCTTCCACTCAGGCTCCTCCAGGGCTCCCTGTGCAGTCACTCCCGCCCGCT